CTTCTTTTTATCCCTTCCCATTCTTCTTCCTTCCCTCCCCTATGTCTCAGGAGCAAACAAACTCTGGATCAATGCAGGAAGGACAACTAAGTTGTTCTGTGGCAGGCTAATGCCCATGGCTGCTGGGAGCCATGGCTGTTGCAGGGAGCTGGCAGGAAAGATGTATGAGGTGAAAACAAGGGCAGCAGTGGACATGTGAAGTCCAGAGAGGTCAGTGCGTTGGGGTGTAACTGGAATAGAATTGGGTCAGGCATCCAAGAAGAAATAGCAGGACAGGTATCAGGAGGCTCCATACAGAATGATATGCAGGATAATAAGAGTGAATAGCATGTCCAAAAAAATTGCTGATGCCTAGTTTTATCCCTTGGCTACTAAGTTTCGATATTTTTGTTTATGTATGTAAAAGTATTTAGACAATTTTTCAGTAAACTTATTTTCATATTTAATGATTCTTTGACTTTGGTTCTTCAATGTCATGCAATATTTTCCTTAGGCTACACACAGTTTAAAAATATAAATATCTTTAAAGTCGGATGTATTTCAGTACTTAGAAGAAAAAAAAAAACCTTGTAATTTGTAAAGAATTTGCTGCTTAAGAGCTTTGTTCCCATGCTAAGTAAACCTGAACAACCAACTGGAAATGTATAATGTTTGGTAAAAATGTTTTAAAGATTGACATTTGACTACTGGGTGATGTCAATCTAATGACAAATGAAATCTGAATCTGGATAAAAGCTGTGTAAAATTCAATTTCCAAACCAGATGGGGTGACTCACTAGCTCTAGGAAGTGGTAAAGGTCTTGTCCATCACCCAGTCTGCTGTTGTATTTTTGAGGACATTACTGAACAAGAAATTATGTAATTTTCCCAAGATCACAAATCTAGTATTTTGTTGTTGATGATGGTGTCTTTTAGTATCAAGAATTTCTTTATTCTTATATGTATATCCTGGAAACATTAACTTTAAATTAGAAAAAAATTTAAAATAGGGCTTGTATATTGTTAACCCAGAGAAACTGGGTTCAACTTCTGGAACTCATCCAAAAGGATCTATCTGGTTGCGGAACTCCAGGCAACTTCCTTCTTGGGTATCCTTTTATACTTTGACTGCTTTTGAGAAGCCATTGAGGACAAAATTTCTTGGAGGAACGGTTTGATGGTAGACTTTCAGGTTCTTTTCCCTGACCCTATTGAGATACCTTTACCTATGGGTGTTCCTAGGAATGGTGTTTCCCAGGGTTGGCTGAGGTCAGCTGCCCTGATTAACAAACTCTCTACAAAGGCATTATTATTTCTTACTAGCATTTTTTAAAACTTTATTTTTATTTTACTTTTTATTTAAAGGTTTTCAATTTTAATGAGATATAATTGACATGTAACATTGTATAATAAGATGTGTAACATAATGATTTGATATATGTATATGTTGCAAAATGATTACCATGGTAAGATTAGTTAATATCCATTACCTCACATAGATATTCACACCTCATGTATTAAAATAGGTTTTAAATGTCCATGCTTTTTCTTAGTTCAAAATAATTTAAAATGAAAACTCAAACTATTTCCTTTCTCTTCCCCCTTGTATCTCCAAGCCCACTCTGAAGAAATAACTGTTAACAATATTTTGTATATCCTTCTGGGATTTCTTATGTATATATAAACTTCCCCAATGTATGTGAGACCTTTTATAAACAAAAAATGAGATCAATCTGTAAACATTTTTCTTCATGTTGTTATTTTTTAGTAATTTTAGAGGGTTTTGTTTGTTTTTGTTTTTGTTTTTGTTTTTTTTTTTAGTATCAGTGATTGGCTTCATTTTAAAAATGGCTGATAATTACATGCATGTATAATTAATAGACATCAAAATATTTTCTAATATTTTGCTATTATACATTATGCTACAATAAACATTCTTGTATGTACTTTCTTGAATCTTATGCAAGTACATCTGTATTAGAAATTCCTTTTAGAAATGAAATTGTTGGATTAAAAGTTATACATATTTTTCATTTCCTTAGTGATAAATATCCATTTAAAGACCTTATAGTAAGTTATTCCCAACAATGTTACATGACAGTGCTTGTTTCCCCCAAATCTTGTTGAAAATAGGCAGAATCAAACTTATTTTTATGTTGACTCCAAATATTAAGGAAGAGAAATATTTAATTGAGAGAATAGTTAGTTGGACAGCTCCTTAGTTTGGTATACATTTTAAAGTGGAAAAACTTCTTAAACCAAAGTCTTTTTTCTCCTCTGAACTTAAATTTTACTTTTTAAATGAACATAAGGTAAAATTGACCTAATTTTGGTGTATAGTTCTATAAATTTTAACATACAGGTTTGTATAATCTCCAGTACAGTCAGGGTAGAGACTATATCCATCACCCTCAAAACCTCCCTTGTGCTCGCCTCTTGTAGTTACACACCTCCTCCCCTAGCCACTAGCAACCCCTGATTCGTTCTGTCAGTATAGTTTGTGTCCTTTTGAGAATGTCATATAAATGGAATCCTAAAGCATGAAATCCTTTGAGACTGGCTTCTTGAATCAGCATTAATTACTCGGAGAATCAGCCAAGTTGCTTTGTTTGTGGATACATGAAACAAAATTAATTTAAAAAATTGGTCTTTGTAAATGTCAAGAAAGTGATGAACCTCTAGCAAGACTGATAAAGAAAAAAAAATAGAAGACACAAGTTACCAATACCAGGAATGAAAGAGAGGCTATCACTACAGACCCCACAGAAAAACTCTGGGCATTTAAGTTTGGCAGCTTAGATGAAATGGGCTCATTCCTCAAATACCAGGAATTACCAAAACTCACCCAATATGAAATACATAACTTGAGAATTTTTGTAATTATCAAAGAAAGTAGGTTAAAAAACTTCCAGACAAGAAAATCTCCAACCCATTTGCTATTGCTCTGTTGCTGCTAGAGCCCCCTTTGCCTTAACTAGGAGCTTCTCTTGGAGCTTTCACCATCCATGGTGGTGCCCTTCCAGTATCTCAGAGATCTCTCCAGGGGATACCATAGGAAAAGACTGTGGAGAATCCAACACCAGTTCAGTGGTCCTTTGAATTCTTGTTGTCTTTTCCACTCTACCTACTATTATTTACTTTCCAGTGTCCTTAGGTAGCTGCTGTACACATTCTGTCCAGGTTTTATAGCTGCATTCAGTGGGAGAGACAGGGTAGGGTGCAATGAATCAGTACTTCCTGGGACTGGAACCTTCAGATCAAACTTTTTATCGTTCCTTGTTGACTAGGTCAAAATGAAGGTAGGCTACATAATTTGGGCAGTATTAAGGGGAATATCTTCTTCATTTCCCTATTCCATCATTGCATGTCCATAAGTTCAAATGTGGACTGTGCTTTGATCTTTTTCTTTCCAGAGTATTCAGATAGTGGGTTGTCTGCAGATTAAGTGTTAAATGAAATGGGATATTTTGGATGTTTGGTTTTTAGAGTCTTTCTTTCCTATGTAGGAATAGTGAATGTTCTCACCTATACCCTATAGATTTTGGCCTTGTTCCCATAACTGTAGAATGTAGTTTAGTGTGTTCACATGTAGTAGCACACATCAAGAGAACAGAACTTTCATGTCTTGTAGGATCTATTTAACCACAAAAACTGTATTAGCATGAAGAGGTTTTAAAAAGTTATACGTTATGACTCAGACATGCACAAATGCGACCTTATTTCCCCATGACTGAATTCAATTTGCTGTGAGCCTCTTTTCCTTTGGGGACAAAAAAGTTCAGTCTTGCCACTTCAGGGTAATTTAAGATCTGCCAGTTTAGAATTTGATCTCTTTCAGGAAATTACTCAGTGAATTCATTATTTAAACATAGTCACTTGAAAGTGCATACTTCCGTATTGGGGTATTTTTCCCATACCAAGAGCTTTTCCTCTTTCTCCATTCCCAGAATGGCATCATGAGGCAGGAGAAGCTTACGTATCATCATGGCGGTGAGGGTGACATCTCTCTTGTGCCCAGTCCTCTGAATCTTCCTGTGGCCTGTCTTCTGTGACTTGGCCTTTGTTTGCTGCCCTCTTTCCCCACTGCATCCTCTTGGAATGTGACTGGTCCCATTTGGCATTTCAGTGTGTGCTGGCATATGCTGCTAAGACCTGTGCTCCTGGCCATGGTCTTGCCCTGCACATCTACAGAGTGTCACTCTGGTGGTGCCCTCTCCAGGTACCTTTCACTCACTGGCTCTTAGCACTTCTGTATTTACCACTGGGACAGGCAGACACTGCTCAGCCTCTTCTGTGCCATGCTTCAGCCTCAGGAAAACTTATGTACACCATGTAAGGTCCTCCTCTGCTTAAACACAGCATGGGGCCATTTCTTCAGTGTCCTTCACTGACACTCATAGTGTCCTTCAAAGTCGTAACACAACACTTCCCCAAACTACTCCAGGATTTCTTTGTCTTGCTCCCATGCCTCACTCGGTTCAGCCAAGCTAGGGTGTTCAGGGGTGCTGGATGCCTTTGCATAGCTCCATATAGCATCTTAAATGTGGTTTTGTCCTCTGGGTCTCTCCAGGCTCTCTACTTGTCTTCCTTCCTCACCCCCTACCCACAATTAATACTGGTTTTTGTCCTTGGATACAAGATTAATATCCTGAAACAATACTTATTCATAAGCAGTAACTATTTCTGAAATGTAATGGGAAAAAGGGCTATTGCTTACAATTGCAATAACAAATAAAAACATAAATTCCTCACAAATAAATATAACAAGAAATGTGCAAAATCTATATAAATTTTGAAATTTTACTGTGGAGTAGATAAAGAGTTCAGTAAATGGAGACTTCTTAGCTTCCATTTGATATTGCGAAGGTCAAATTTTTTTTTTTTTTTTTTTTGCAAATTAATGCATACCTTCAAATAATTTTCAAATGAAAATATCAATGAGATCCCTTATGGCATTTAACAAACTGATTCTAAAGCTCATTTACAGGGGCGTCTGGGTGTCTCAGTCGGTTAAGTGTTAACTTCAGCTCAGGTCATGATCTCATGGTCTGTGAGTTTGAGCCCTATGTCAGGCTCTGTGCTGACAGCTCAGAGCCTGAAGCCTGCTTCTTCGGATTCTGTGGCTCCCTCTCTCTCTGCCATTCCCTGTTCATGGTCTATCTGTCTGTCTGTCTCTCTCTCAAAATAAACATTTAAAAAAATGTGAAAAAGGCTCATTTACAAAAAAAAATGCTTCAGAATAGCTGATAAATATGTGAAAAAGAACAATGATAGGGTCCTTGTTTTATTAGGTAGCAAATCAAGGCATATGAGCTATAATTAAAACAGAAAAAGAAAAAGAAAAAGCCCTTCAAACTGACCCATTATTTGTGAGAATATGGGTTACGATAAAGATTGTATTTCCTATCAGAAAGATGGATTTCAAGGCATGATTTTATGGATTGCCTTTCCACTTGGAAAAAGAAAAGAAGCTAAAGACCTACCTCACACCATGGGATTAATTCCTGATAAATTCAAAAGCCCAATATATTTAATCATCTGTACAAGTTTTAGGTAAAAATTCAGGACTATTTCTTATAATTATGGAATAGGGCTTCCTAAGGAAAATATAAAAAACAGAAATAATGAAGCAAAATGCTGACAAATTTGTGGAAAAATTAAACTCATGTACCAGAATATTTGCTTTGCTACTGCAAATGAGCAGTAGATTTTCAGTAAATATTTGTCGAGTGAATGAGTATAAAACAAATTATAAATAAATGAAAACACAAGCAAAATAAATGGAAGAGCATTTGCCAACTACCTAACGAGTCGTAAATATGCAGAATCTATAAAGTGTGATGGTATAAACCCAAAGATAAACAACTCAATAAAAAATGTGTAAAGACCCATAGAAGGAATAAAAATAAATGGCCAGGAAACTCATAAACAGGTGCTCAATATCATTAGTAACAAGGAAAATGTAAATTAAGGTATTTTTTGTTACACTGGGAAAATGGTTAATACTGATAATATCCAATTGATGAGGATGAGGGTAACACTTCTGGTGGGGGCGTATAAACTAGAAAAGCCATTTGGGAGGGAAATCTGGACATATCTTTCTAGATTAAAGATGTCTGCGTCCCTCACACGCTAATGACAAACGATCTGTCCTGGGCATAATAAGTGAAGAACTATAACAAAATGGTGGTAATTTAACCATTGGATTCCTTTTAGTTCTTTCATTTTTGTCAAAGCGCTCAAACAAGCAGCGGGAAGGTAATATAAAAATTATGTTTTAGCTGATTTGATTACATTTTTGTTGTTGAATTAAAATTCTCTCTAAAGGTATCAGCCATCGCTCATTTGGACTCATCTGATGAGTTAACTTTCTCTCTGTGTAGAATAAACTGCTTTGTATAGGAGATTCTTGAATTTTAATTTTGCACTGTGCAATGATATGCTTCATAGGTTAGTTTAGAATGATTAACAATATTCAACATCAAAATTTATGAGACTAAGTGGTGAATTCAAAGAAAGTACCTAGGATATTTAAAGTGTAAATCAGAAGTAAAAGTGTAGATGTGTTTAAAAAAAAAAAAAGCCTATGTCTTTTGATCCAATGAGCTCATCTCCATGAATCTATTGAAAGCAAAGTTTATCCAAGCACAGGTATATATTGATGCAAGGATATCTGTTGTAGTGTTGCTTATAGCACCAAGAATTGGAAGAAATAAAAAGCCTGTAATTTTGGCAAGGCTGAATAAATTGTGGAATACAGACAGTTGTTAGCCTGTAGTATTGACACTGAAAAATTTATTAGATAGATCTTGGAGTTAAGAAAGCAGGTAAAGATACCACCTAGAGAATGATCCCTATATATGAAAATAAACAGATTATTTTATTTTATTAAAAAATTTTTTTTCAATGTTTATTTATTTTTGAGACAGAGAGAGACAGAGCATGAACGGGGGAGGGTCAGAGAGAGGGAGACACAGAATTTGAAGCAGGCTCCAGGCTCCGAGCTGTCAGCACAGAGCCCGACGTGGGGCGCGAACTCACAAATCACGAGATCATGACCCGAGCCGAAGTCGGACGCTTAACCGACCAAGCCACCCAGGTGCCCCTAAACAGATTATTTTAGATGAATATGTAAGTGCAGAGAAATTCTGCAAACGTCTGTACTAACTGGTTACCTCAGGGGAAGAGAGGGTAGAGGGAGGTGATGAAATACATTCTATTATATATAGTTATATTTTGGGGGCACTTGGGTGGCTCAGTTGGTTAAGCATCTGACTCTTGATTTTGGCTCAGGTTGTGATCTTGTGGTTGGTGGGATTGAGCCCTGCGTCTGGCTCTGTGCATGGAGCCTGTTTGGGATTCTCTGTCTCTCTTTCTGTCTCTCTGTCTTCTCTCTCTTCTCTCTCCCCCTGCCCCTCTCCTGCTTGCATTCTCATTATCTCTCTCTCTCTCTCTCTGTCTCTCTCTCTCTCTCAAAATAACTGCATATTTTTAAGTATTTATGTTTTACTCAGATCCTTTTTTTAAAGTTTATTGTGTGTGTGTGTGTGTGTGTGTGTGTGTGTGTGTGAGAGAGAGAGAGAGAGAGAGAGAGAGAGAGAGAGAGAGAGAGAATCCCAAGCAGGCTCCATGCTCAGCACAGAGCCTGATGCAGGGCTCAAACCTATGAACCATGGGACCATAACCTGAGCCGAAATCAAGAGTCGGATGCTTAATGGTCTGAAGCACCCAGGTACCCCTACTCCTATCTTTTACAATGAGAATATTTTCCTAGATCTCTTGGTAATAAAGAGAAAACAAACAGAAGGAGAGACTGTTTTATGTAAAAATTGAGAAAGAGAGGGAGAGGGAAAGTTAGGGGGGTGAGAAGTGGGGAGTGAGGAAGGGAGGAATCAAAGTTCATTATGCATTAAGAATGTACTATAGAAAGGCGCCCAGGTGGCTCAGTTGGTGAAGCATCCGATTTAGGCTCAGGTCATGATCTTGTGGTTCATGGGTCCACGTCGGGCTCTGTGCCTACAGCTCTGAGCCTGGAGCCTGCTTCAGATTCTGTGTCTTCCTCTCTCTCTGCCCCTCCCCCACTCATGCTCTCCCCCCCCCCCCCAAAAAATAGCCTAAAAAATTAAAAAAAAAAAAAAAAAGAATCTGCTATAGCAAAAACATACATAGATGAAAGAAGGCTCACCTCCAGGGAGGTTCTCTGCTTAATCCTGGCTGGTACCTGATTAGCCCCGCTGGATAGTTAAGATCACCTTCTTGCTCTATTTATCAGACACTGTGGTGCTGCCAAGCACCCTGAAGGAACAGGGGTGCTTGAAAATGGCTTCTGCATGCAAATCAGGATGGGGATTACCGCCAGCTTCTGCATAATACATGGTGTAACTCAGCCATAGAGCAATGTTGAGTCAAGTTTGCTGGCTGGTGTCTGGAGCGTTCCTTCCCTGAAGTTATGACGGTTCTGCCTGGAAGCCTGAGAGGGCATGTAATTTCTCTCTCTGATGGCGCTGTTTGTGAAACTTTGTATTTATGTGGCATTCTTTAGCTTTCCAGCACCCCTTGAGGCTAATCTACTGAATAGTCCCCTTGCTGCTGAATAATTTCCTCAAAGGGGAACGTATCTTCTTCTGCAGCATACAGAGAGAGTACAAGGAGCCTAGATTTTTGCTCTGGGGTGAGGAACCATACCATAGGTCCCATACCTATCCATGAGGCCAGTTTGGATGCCTGCCTGCCACTGGTTTTGTTCTTCCAGTGACTCTGTTTGCTGAGTACGTTGGTTTCCTCGAGGGCTGCCATAACAAAACTATCCCCACTGGGTGGCTTAGAAAAATAGAAATTCATTCTCTCACAGTTGTGGAGACTGGAAGTCTGAACTCAAGGTATCAGCAGGGCCATTCTCCCTCTGAAGGCTCTAGGAGAGAATTCTTCCTTGCCTCTTCTTGCTCTTGGTGGTTGCTGGCTGGCCTTGGTGTTCCTTCCCTGGCTTGTAGCTGTATCATTCCAATTCCTATCGCCATCTTCATATCACTTTCTCCCTGTGTTTCTCTGTGTCTGTGTCCAAGTCTGTTTCCTTTCTCTTACAAAGATAACAGTCATTGGCTTTAGGGATCACTGTAACCCAGTAGGTCTTCATGTTAATTACATTGCGAAGACCCTATTTCCAAAGAGGGTTACTTTTTGATGTTCTAGGTGGGCAGGAATTTCCCAGGGAACACTACCCAGCCCACTGCACTGACCTCCACTCAGATCTCCCACATCCTTTAATATTTCTGTTTATTCTTTCAGTTACCTTCATGCTTTTGCTTTGTGGCTCATTTCCCCACTTGTTGTATGTGTTCTTTCTTGCAGACCTCGATCATATGCTTCTGATAGTAAAGTTTCATACATTTTACTTCTCCAGACACCCATAGTGACAGTAACCCCATCTCTGACCTCTTGGGGCGGTCTATCCCATTGGCCTCATTATATACTTGTGTAATCATATCCCCTGTATTTAATTTGGAAGATTTCTTCACCTGGTCCATGGCTTAAGCTAGGGCTATGCATGTACCTAATAAATGCTTGTGGACTGGAATCGAAAATGTTCCTTTTAGGGACCAGGTAAAAGAAGATCAACTGTCGTGTTCTTTAAAAACAAATCAAAACACACACCTGATGAAAACCCATTGCATAAATCAAGTAACTGTAGGTCTCCAGCTGTTGTGGTTTAGTTGTGGCTGTTCTCATTCTTTGCAGCTTTCTTCATTCCATTGCTTCTCTCCAGCTTTGGAAGCCAGCTTCTGTTATTCTAGTGATAGCTCAGTAGGTTTGGCATGGTATCTCTTTTTCTTCCAGGTACAACTGTTTCACTGAAAATTCCCACATTTGGTCCTCGTATCAGAAAGTCCTTGCAGTCTGGGCCTATAAGTGGTCTTCATGTTGCAGTCTTGTGTTATTTCCAAAATGGAAAGAAATAATGGTAATGAGAGTAATGACAAAAAAAAACCCTTAAATTATGGTGTGCAATTCTAAATGATATGCACATGTGATAAGTCACAGAC